CCCCGCCTCGCCCGCCAGTCCCTCTCCCTGTTCTGAGGCCAGCGTTCTTGGGGAGCCTCCCGCCTTTCCCGCGGGCTCCCCTTTGCCAGCCCCTCAGCCTCTGACGCCAACATCTCTTCCTCGTCAGCTCCGCCCTGCGGGCCGCGGGCATTTACCGGTGCCGTCTGCGCCCGCCCTCTCCTCTGCCCCGCGCTCTCCCGGTAGGAGCGGCCAGGACCGAGCACCCGCTGTGTGCACGCGCAGGCTGCTCTGCAGACACGTGGGGGCTGCCTGCCGTGGGCAGCGTCGCTCCCCCACCTTAGTGCTGTGGATGGAGCCCAGGGCCTCACCCTGAGCTCCAACCCAGCCCTTTTTTCTTTCTTTTTTAAGAGTAGGAAAGATTCATTGGGGAATAGGAATCGCAACCCAAATGGGTTTCCTTTGTTTTTTGACTCAGGGTCTCTCTAAGTTGCCCAGGGTGGACTTGCACCTTGGATCCTCCTGCCTCAGCCTCGAGTGCCAGGACGGACAGCGTCCACACCCTGTTTCTTCCCTCTTTCTCCCGTGTCCGGGGGAGAGGCACTGACTTCCCTGTGTGCCTGCTGTCTGCCTGGCCGTCTCCCTGCTGCCCCCCTCTCCCCCCATCTCCTCCCCGGGAGAAGAGACAGCATCTGCCCGGTGTCCGTAAGCACCGCCCTCTCCCCTCCTCAGCCAGCAAGAGGAAGGGCACCCGCTGAGCCCCAAACACTGCTGCCCTCCATAGCTCTCTCCTCCCCCCTTCTCAGCATGGGAACCCCAAGTTTTCCAGAGGGACGGGGCCAGGTGTCCCGGGAACCAACCCTGGGTGCTGGGCAGACCAGGGTTCAGGGTGAGGACACACCCCTCCCGGAGTTTGTGGCGCGCAGAGGGGCTGCTCACTCCCGCAGGCTCCCTCTCCCCTCCACCCCTTCCTCCTGCCTCTGCGTCTGGCCCTGTCCCCTTGCAGCTATCCTCCCCCAAATCTGTCCTGATGCCCGCTGCCAAACCTTCCTTTCTCCTGGCCTCCCTGTCCCCAAGATCTGGCAACCTGCACGGAGCCTCCTCCCTGCCGCTCCTTACCCCTCAGGACACTCGGTCCTGCGACCTGCACCTGGGCTTTGCCACCTGTTCACACCCCGCCGGGTCCTCCTGTGACCCTGGGCGCTGTCCCCTGGGGACCCGGGCCATGGCTGCAGGTGCCCCCGCCCAGGGCCCGGTGTTCAGTGCACGGGGTCTCCTGGTGCCCGGGCAGGGCCGGTCCCGCTGCACACTTCAGCCCGTCTCTCGGGCTCCTCTCTCACCCTCCTCTCCCTACTTCTCTCCACATCCTCCTCTTCCCCTTCTCCCTCCGTGTTCTGTCCTCCTCCTCTTCTTCCTGTTCATGGTCTCCTCCTACTCTTCCGACTTCTCTTCCACTCTCCTTCTCCCTCCTCTCCTCTCTTTTACCACCTCGTCTTTCCCCCTCCATCTCTCCTACTTTCCCTCCTTCTATCCCTACGCTCTTCTCCACCCTTTTTCTTCTCCCTCTTCTCTTTCATTTGTTTGTGACAGTCTCACTATGTAGTGAAGAGCAGCCTTGAACTCGTGGCGACCCTCCTGCCTCAGCCTCCTGAGCCCTGGGATGACAGGCGAGCACCACCCACACCAGCTCCTTTTTTCACTCTTCCTTCCTCCTCTGCTCACTGTTTTCCTTTTATTCCCCCGCTCCTCCTGCCGCTCTCCTGTTTTCCTCCTCTCATCTTCCTCCTGCACCCTCTTCCTCTGGCTCTTTTATTCCTCCTCTCCTTTTTCTCTTCCTCCTCCACCTCTTCTCACGCCTTCTTTTTCTCCTTTTCCTCCTTCAGTAATCGATTTTTGCCACCTTCCCCCTTTCCCTCCTCCTCCTCTCCTGTCTCCCTCCCCCTCCCTCCCCCGCCAAGGGCCTGTCCTCCCTCTGGAGCTGCCCTTTAGCCCTACTCCTTCTGCCCTGTGCACCTGCTCGCTGCTCTCCCGCCCTCTCCTCCTCTCCTGCCCCTGCCGCTGCCCTCCTCCCAACCCTCTTCTCCCTGGGTCTCTCTCTCCCTCTGGTTGCCTCCGTCACCCTGACCCTGGCTGCCCTCTCACAGCTGCCTTATCCTTGCCGGTTTTCTCAACTTTCCTTTTCTTCCATTTGTCTTCCCGCTCTTTCTGTCCCCCTCCCTGCTGGGATTCCTGTGCTCTGGCTGCCATCTCCCCCCTGCCCTGGGGCTCTGTCGCAGTCTCAGGGGCCTCTGTGGCCAAGTTCCCTCTTTCCCATCTGTTGGGGACACTGGACGCTGCCTGGAGGGATCGGTCATCTGAGGCCCAGGAAACTGCAACAAGAGGAGACTCTGAGGTTGGAAGGGACCTGCCCAAGTCCCACAGCAGCAAGCGGCAGGCCGGGGACCGGATGGCCCTGGGTTGGGGTCCAAACCTGGCAGAGCGCCATCTGTTCACCCATCCTGGGTCCCACCCTCTCTTCAGGAAGCAGGAGCAGCAGCTCACAGACAGTGTTTCCGAAGACCCCATGTTCGATCTGGACAGAGGCCTGGTTGGACAGCTGAGACCCCCCCGCCCCGAAGGGTGGTCCTCTGTCCCCACCTGCTGGTGGTGGGCAGAAGGGCAGCCCTGCTGTATTAGACACTGAGAATGGTTGAACCAAAAGCGGAGACTGGGCTGAGGATTTAGCTCAGTGGCACTGCACCTACCTGACAAGCACAAGGACTTCAGTCTGATGCCCAGTACAAAAAAAAAAAAAAAAAAAAAAAAAAAGA